CCTCTCTCTCTCTCTCTCTCTCTCTCTCTCTCTCTCTCTCTCTCTCTCTCTCTCTCTCTCTCTCTCTCTCTGTGTGCATCCCCCCACCCCCAACCCACCTCCCCATGCACACACAACACTGTGAAGTCTGCCATTCCTCTGTTTTTGAACTCCTTCCCCTCTCCGTTCCTCTACTACGTAGTTTGCAAAGCGTGTTTTTTTTGTAGTACTAGGACAAGGTTATGCATGTGCTATGCTATAAATCCATGTCTCCGTCCCTATGTATATTGTTTCTTACTTTGTAGGCATGGTTTGATAATTAGATGCACAGCATTACACTGTTTGGCCAGAGGATCTGTATGCTGTGGCCAGCAAAAAGATACATTAGTAAAGCATGTCTCTCTATTTTTTTGGATTGTCGGAGAATGGAATGCATAACTTTCGTTGAAGAGTACTTCTATGTTGGGGCCACAAAAAAATAGTACTCTGTTTTGTGGCCCCAACATACCCGCAGGTCCGTTGTCCTCGGGTTTTGTGGCCCCGGGTGGGCCGCAGGTCCGTTGTCCTCGGGTTTGTGTATGTCAAAGATTCCCATTTTCAGTAAAAATCCAAATATGCATCAAACCCGAGGACAACGGACCTGCGGCCCACCTGGCCGGGTGGCTCGGGCCCGGGCAACCTGGGGCCCCCTGCACGGGGTACCGCGGGCGAGTGATTTTAGGCCCCTTTTTCTTTTTCAGTCCAGTCTGGCATTTCTGCGCCCACCAAGTACTGTTCAAATCCGCATTGATTTTTCTTTTTGTTATGTGGTCCAGGGGATGGTTGGAAGGGGGGTTGAGGGGGTGGAAGAGGAAGTGTGTTGGGGGGTGGAGGGGGCGAGGGGCTGGTTGGCTGTGCTCCTTTGTGTGCAGCCCCAAGACCCCCCACTTCTTTTTTTCATCGTTAATCAGTGGGGCCTCGCACAAAGAAGGGATTGTTGGAGTTTAGGGGGATGAGGGCCGGGGGGCTGGTGGGCTCTGCTCCTTTGGGTGCAGTCCCAGGAACCCCCACTTTGCTTCAATTTTGTTTTTGTCAATCAGTGTGCCCCCCCACAAAGAATTGGCAGTTGGGGTTGGGGTGCGGCCCCCACAAAGAACGGGTGCATGCAGGTTGATGTGCGTTGATGGGGCGTCCTTGGACTCTTCACTACTCAGTGGATCTTATTTTTTGTCGCCGTGGGAGCAGTTACTTGAAACCAGTTCGCGGTTCCGGTGCCCGCAACTAATCTAGTTATTTCACTAAACTCGAACCACAAACAGGTCTGCTGGTTGTGGCAGCAACATCCGGTTGCAGAATCCAGACCAGCAACCCCTCACAGAAACCGCAACCTTCAACACATTGCTGGTTCCGGTATCTAAGGGGTGCATTCAGGTTGGTGTGCGTTGATCTTATTTTTTGTCTTCAGTGGATCTTATTTTTTGTGGCAGCACCATCCGGTTGAGTCTTCAGTGGATCTTATTTTTTGTCCCTGTGGGAGCAGTCACGGAGACCAGTTCGCGGTTCCGGTGCCCGCAACTAATCTAGTTATTTCACTAAACTCGAGCCACAAACAGTTCTGCTGGTTGTGGCAGCACCATCCGGTTGCAGAATCCAGATCAGCAACCCCTCACAGAAACTGCAACCATCAACACGTTGCCGGTTCCGGTATCCGCAAGCACTTATCAGTAGATGACCTCAGGACCTGCATCGACACCCTATAATGAGCAAGGGCGACTGCGAACCACTTCACCGTCTGGTTTCAGGCTTTCGGCAAGTAGTGCCTGAAACCGCTACCTGCACTGTTGTGGAAACGTTTTGTTGCGTATAGATATCGAACAACAAATATATATGAACTGGCTCGTCGAAGACGTATGACAGGTATGCCAGCTGATGCAGTTGCACAGGGATGAAACTGATGCAGACTCGTTTCGGGATGAGGAGCTCGCTGTTGAGGACATTAGAACTTGCTGGCCGGCAACTGCCATGCTTATAAATGAGGCATTGATGTACGCAGGTCTTAAAGAGCAATTGCAAGAGTGCATGAATCTCCTTCTGAAGCGGAATCACAACAACGCATATGTCACATCTGCATGCGACTGCAGGTTCGTCAGATTTCAACAGATATTGCTGGACGAATTCGAGATGGAAGTATGCGAGCGATGGCCAGATCACAAACCGAGAGTTTTTCGACTGCGGCGTTCTGGTTCACCTGAGAAAGCACAACCTCAACGAGTTGTACTGCAGTAGTCACTATTTGCAAACTGTGGGAGCATACATCATGACGACTTGTGTGTTTGTGACTCATGCAGGCCACAAGCAAGAGGGGTGCTCATAAATATTGTACTTCACAACTGATTTAGACACTTGCAAACCTGCCTGTTCAGAGACTTTTTTTTTTTGTCTAATTCGATTCTATATATCTGCATCTATACACACACAAACACTCACACACACACATATATGTCTGTATATATATAACTGTACATGTATATGTATATATATGTATAAATACACACAAACAATATCTGGTTGTGTATATATCTGCATGTATACACACACAAACGCATGCGGCCACACACACGCACATGCCGATCATAGAGAAGTGGGGGGGGGGGGGGGGGGGGGGACTTTCCATTTTGGAGTGGAGGCGTGTGCATAAGCACACGAAAACACTATCGTTTGTCAGCTGACTCGTAACTGACGGCAAGCATTTGTCTCATGCAACAAGCTTAACAGCCATGCATTATTTGTGAAAAACAAAGTCACAGAAGTAGGCGTCGAAGGTGACGTGTTTTTTAAGCAAAACGTCAGCTGGGTGAGGTCATTGTTCCAAGATGAAGAGTACCTGCACATGGAAGACGAAGTTGTTTGTGATGGCATGATAGCACCTGTTTTTGAATAAAGGAATGATTGACAAGTGATAGTCAAAGACAAGGGCAGGGATATGTGGTACATATACTGCCTGAAAGATGATATTTTAGTTGCCGGCAAAACGAATTACGGAATGGAAAACAAGGACTTGCACAACTGATATGACACGTTGTGCGTGATGCAAAACTGAGGAGTTGAAGAGGGAGGTTCATCAAAACTTAAGCGTGCGGGTTGCTAGAGGTGTGCGTGATGCAAAACTGAGGAGTTGAAGAGGACGTTCATGCGTGTGTGTTGCTAGAGGTGGCTGCTCTCATCAGCACCTCTAGCACTAAAGGGAGTTCGTTTAGAGAAAAAAAAAAACCGTACTCACATTGTTCACGGTGCAGAAAACGTACGGTATGGAGATTGTGACACCATTTACCGTTCGAGAGGATCACGTCATAGACATTGTTCACGGCGCAGAAAACGTACGGTATGGAGATTGTGACACAGTTTACCGTATGAGAGGCTCACGTCATAGATTCGGATTCTGCAGCGTTGAAACGAATCTGAGAGCGAAAAGAGGTTGATGAAGAGCGAAGAAGGAGAAACAAACCTTATATTGTGCATGTGCAAATGCAGGTATTGTATGAATGGTGCAAAACGGTACATTTTCCAATAAGATGTGAGAACGGAACGTAATCTCACATCTCGCAAGAGTACGGATACAAACAGTCGGGTGTTAGAGAAATTGAGGTCCCAGGAGGGCAGAGGGAGAAAGTGTATGATTGCCCCTATTGCGATGATACAGAACATTCTAAGTTGATTGAGGTGTGACAATTTCAACGGCCAGGGAATAGTCATTGAAGGGAGACAAACGAAACGACAGAAGCAGAAAAACATATATAATGAAAGAGATAGAGAGAGAGAGAGAGAGGATATATTGTCACAGCATGTCCTTCAACGGCATGTTGCTACCACGCTGGATGAGTTGATGTTAGAGTGTAGCCTGAGTGCAGGGGGTGTCCATCCTGACTATGGTGGTTAGCGTAAGGAGGAAGGAGAAGGAACAAGGGCAGTTGGATGAAAATTATAGAGGTATTTTATTGCCTGCAATGATAGCCTACCTGTGCACATTGGTTGACGGTGCACTACGAAGACCGCATCAGGGGAGCGGTACTACAAGGAAGGCTTTGTGCCAGCTTGAAACATTGGTGAGTAGGAGCAGGATAAATAATATATTCCTTTCCGTTGTAATCTGCACATATAGGCACTGTCCTGCTATGCCTCCATAGTTGTCCACCTTGCATATGTCGAGGACGACGGCGGACCATATATGATGGTTGTCATATTCATTTTATTTTGTTGCTGCTCGCAGCTATCGTCGAACCTCAAATGAGCACGTGCGTGTGGGCCGGCGCGTTCAGGGAAGTTGGGCGGCCGCGAACCCGGTCATCCTCTACGGACAACCAGCCCGCATCGAGCAGCCGACCACCCAGGTCGTACGCTCCTTGGTAGGACCCGATAACATGTTTACTATGCGCCACTGTGGAGGAATAAACATAGACCCGCCTGTTCGACAACCAGATGTGCTGGAATAATTTTTTTTAT